TCAGCAGCATGTGTGCATCACGTGTTATACCTTCGATGCCGTACAAGAAACGACTGCGCACTCTGTGATCATACCGCCGTAGCTTCCTCCAGCGGGATGCGCGGGATCTATCCGTCAAGAAACCTCGTTTTGCCTCCGACAATCCGTATTCGACATCCTCATGTTCAACAAAACTGGTATCGAGTAAATTTCCCAACATCTAGAGTTTGGTTACCTGTGGTATCCCAATTGGGAGCGATGGTATAACCAAAGGCCTCAACGAGATGCAAGTCTATCCACATGTTAGATACTCCATCGAGCTACGTTTCCAATACAAGCTGTGCTTAGCAATCTCTTTCGTGAGCACCTCAAGCGCACCAATCATCGCCGACCGAGTCTCAGCTACGAGCACAATGTTGTCAGCCCGCAACCAATGGTTAACAAGTATCCCCCCACCTTCCTCACTGAACTCAATACCACATCTCTTCTTCTCCCACTACTGCTCCAGCGATCCAAAGAGCAGGGGCCTTCGTACTGCCAGTGCGTCTGCAAGTGTCCCAATGGATGCCTTCAACCGTACACTGCTAGAAAGAGATGGTGGCTGTGCTCGTGGCACTGCCCTCCGAAAGGTATTTGGTATTTGGAGATGGTGTTTCTGGCATTGTACAAGGGCGTCGTCTGGCACAAATTGTTGCGTTATTCAGGACAATGTTTGGCAGTTTGGGGGTTGGGATTGCGAAGGGGTGGGAGGCGTGCTAGGGTCTTGGGCAGATCGGCGGGCATGCGGATCGTTTGCTGGAGAATGGGGTCACGGTCGCGTTCCCCGCGAGCAAGTTGGTATTGTTTGGTTCTCCTCTGGAAGTGAGGTTGGTCAACAACAAGGTAGGTTCATCCGCATGTTAATAACGATAACGTTATGCGATACATGTCAATGTTACGCTATCCTGTGCCGGTTCTTGTCTGATACCGCGCGTGCAGGGTCCACTTTTGTCCTCCTCCTCCGCGTCTCCTTCGCTGCTTTCCCTTCCCCGCCCCCTCTCCCCGCTTGATTTCGTGATTCGCTGCCGAGGCTGTGTTTGATGTTGTGGCGCGGGGGAATCGCCACGCTGTTTTAGTTACGATGCCTCTTCAGCATGCGTCGCGGATTTATCTCTCCGATTCGACGGGGGCTCAGATCTGCAGTCTTCCATTCTGAAGTGCGCAGGTCCGTTCGTGGTCGCTCACGGCTGGCGAACTGTGGCATTACCTGCCCGTGCACGTGCGCAGTATTCGGTAGTTTGCAGGTCGTGGCACCTGCTCGCCTATGGCAGGTTGGCTCGTGCAGGGTCGTTGGATTAGTTGGCAGTCAGTGTCTGCAACGCCTGGACCCGCTCCTGCGTCTGGGTAGGTGTCCACTTCGCGGTCCTGGCTCCTGTATATTGCTCTTTTTTTGTCCTCTTCCCTTCTCCTTTTCTTGTCGATGCTTTTGTACTTCTGAGATGTTGTTGTACATTAAACCACTGGTCAGTCTCTGCCGCTCATCGCCACGGAGTGCACGGGTTACTCGAGAGATGTTGCGGTCGTCCCCCCCCTCGTGCCCCTCCTTTCCCGGAAAGACCCTACCCGACGCCCTACCCGACGCCCAGCCCAACAGCGTTCTCGACGCCCTTCCGGATGGCGCCCTACTCAGCGCTGGTGCGTTCTGCGTCTCGAGTTAAATTGTGTTTTGGCAGTTTCTCGGGCCGTGTTTTTGTTTGGATTCCGTTCTGAAGCCAGGGCGGAGCGAAGACGGAACAAGGGAAAACGAAGTCAAGGCAATAATGGACACTGGAAATCGAACACAGAACGAGGAAACACTGAAGGAAAGCGAAAACGGACGAGCAATGGAAAACGAAGACGAAGCGAGGGAAAACAAGACGAGCAGCCTTCGGGGTCAGTACCCCCCGCCGCCGCCTTGCAGCACCGCGGCGCCGCCAGCCGCCTCGCAGCCAGGGGGGCCTTTGGTGCCTTCGCTTGGGCGGCACCGGCGGGCAGCTGCGGCCCGCCGCGCCTCCAGGCCGGAGAGCCGCGGCGCAGGCGCTCCCTCGGCGCGGGGCCGCTGCCGCGGGTGGCGCATCCTGGCTGCCTCCTCCTTCTCCTCCTCCTCCTCCTCCTCCTTCTCCCTCCTCCCTCCTCCCTCCTCCCTCCTCCCTCCTCCTCCCTCCTCCTCCTCCTTCTCCTCCTCTTCCTCCTTCTCCTCCTCCTATGCCTCCTCAGGCATGCCCGTGTCGGACAACAATCGCGGCGGGAGTTCCTGTGTCCGTTCTCGGCCTTTGGCCCTCGCCGAGCCCCAGGGCCGTCAAGGAATGACTCGCGATGAGAAACCAGGCCTGGGGACATGGTCGGGACTTCTGGGGCACCCAGGTCGAGAAAGTCAGGACATCGTTCCCTCGCTCCTCGCTCTTTGCTCCTCGCTCCTCGCTCCTCCTCCCGCTCCTCGCTTCTCGCTCCTCGCTCCTCGTCCTCCTCCTCCTCCTCCTCCTCCTCCTCCAGAGGTCCGAGGCTCTGAGCCTTCTGGTGTCTGGGAGACTCAGGGAGTCTGCTTTTCACCGGCGGCTGCATGCTCAACTGTGGAGTCAATTGTGGAGTCTGGGAGACACAAGGAGGCGGAAGGGGTTGGAAATCCGCAGACCGTGCCTATAAGCCACCATCGTGGGGGTCCACGCGTCGAATTATCCTGGCGAAGGACCCAGCCATATGCCGTTGTGGGTACCGCAATTGTGAATATCTTCTTTGGTGAAGCTCCCTATGGGGCCACGAAAGCGCTGCACTGGGTGGGGGGGAACGCACGCGGGCGTCCCACTGGGCCATTGGGGGCTTCGGTGGAGCTCCCTATGAGGCCACGAAGCGGTGTGCTGGGTGGGTGGAAATGCCACATTGGGTGTGTCGGACGCATGCGGGCAGTCCCATTCGGGGCTTCGGTGAAGCTCCCTATGGGGCCACGAAGCGCTGTACTGAGTGGGTGAAAATGCCAAGTTGGGTTTTCGGGACGCACGCGGGGGGTCCCACTGGGGGCTTTAGTGGAGCTCCGAAAGGGGCCACGAAACGCTGTACTGTGTGGGTGAAAATGCCAAATTGGGTTTTCGGGACGCATGCGGACGGTCCCATTGGGGGCTTCGGTGGGGCTCCCTATGGGGCCACGAAGCGCTTTACAGGGTGCGTGAACATGACAAAGTTGGTTTTTCAGAACGCATGCGGACGTTCCACTAGGGGCTTCGGTGGAGCTTCCCATGGGGCCACGAAGCGCTGTACTGGGTGGGTGAAAAAGGCCAAATGGGGTTTTCGGGACGCATGCAGACGGTCCGTCCCATTGGAGCCTTCGGTGGAGCTCTCTAATTATGGGGCCACGAAGCGCTGTGCTGGGTGCGTGAAAATGACAAAGTTGGTTTTCATAACGCATGCGGACGCTCCACTGGGGGCTTCGGTGGAGCTTCCCATGGGGCCACGAAGCGCTGTACTGGGTGGGTGAAAAAGGCCTAATGGGGTTTTCGGGACGCATGCAGACGGTCCGTTCCACTGGGGCCTTCGGTGGAGCTCCCTAATAATGGGGCCACGAAGCGCTGTGCTGGGTGCGTGAACATGCCAAAGTGGGTTTTCGGGGCGCAAGCGGACGGTGGCACTGGGGCCTTCGGTGGAGCTCCCCATGGGGCCACGAAGCGCTTCACTGGGTGCGTGAAAATGACAAAGTTGGTTTCCAGAACGCATGCGGACCAACCACTGGGGGCTTCGGTGGAGCTTCCCATGGGGCCACGAAGCGCTGTACTGGTTGGGTGAAAATGCCAAACTGAGTTTTCGGGACGCATGCGGACGTTGGCACTGGGCCCTTCGGTGGAGCTCCCTATGGGGCCACGAAACGCGTGAAGCGTGTGCCAAAGTGGGTTTCCCAGACGCATGTGGCCACCCCCACTGGGACCTTGGGTGGTTGTACTGGGTGGGTGAAACGCAGGGAGGAGGGGGGGGAACAGGGAGGAAGGGAGGAAGGAGGAGGACGCGGGGACCGTCTCTTCAAAACGAGGACCCAACACCACAGGATAGTTGGGAAAAACATTGAGGGCCAGCTGTCTGGGCTTTCCGCTGCCTCCCAGTCCCTCCATTATCGCTCGGAACTGGAGGGGGGCTGGGGTGGCCCAGCGCTGGTTTTGGGCAGCAGGGAGGGGGGAGAATGGAGCCCCCGTATTTCTCTCTGGGCTTGTCAGACTCCGCTGCAAACTCTCATTTCTCGCTGCCTCCACCACCCCTGAGAGCTGGGCGTTGCGATGTTTCTCAACCTGGCGTTCTCGCCCAGTTTTGGGACTGGGGGCGGGTCTGGCTCGAACAGTGCAGCAGACAGATGGGGTCAAGGGGCCTGATCGCTACTTTACGTGATCTTGCAATTTCTTCGCATCGTCGGATCTCAGGGCCTTTTCATCCTCCTCCTCTCCCTCGTTCCCGATCTGCCCACGTCCTCTACCTCCCCTCCACCGTCCTTGCCGCCCCCTCTCATCTCCCCGTGCTCCGGGTTTACCTGCTTTTCGTCTCCACGCCTGTGTGTAGGTGAAGCAGGAATGGGATGGAGAGTCCTAGAGGGCATCACACTCCTGTACTTGCCACCCAGTCCCGCCGAGTGATGCCCAGACACAGAGAGTGAAAGGACGAGGAAAGTGTCGCCGCCAATCGGCAGTCGTTGGGCAAAGAGTCGTGCCGGGATCGGTTTGATAGTCTGGCTCCCCAGGCCCAGACGAAAGACCAGTCCTTCGAAGTGAGCAGAAGGGGTGGAGGAGCGATCCCGAGATCTGAGGATGCGAAAAATGGCAACATCGCGAAGAGTCGCGAGTGGAGCCCACGACCCCATCCTTCTGCTTCATTTTTCGAGCTGGATCGATGTGCGCTGGTCCCAGGGCCCAGCTCTCTGGGCGGACACTTCCAGTGTGGAAAAGATTCAACGGAGAGGTCTCGGGGGAGGTGCGCGGCGGCAGCAGGGAAGGGCGGGAGCAGGGCCGGGGCCGCGGTCCGCGGCGCCGCAGGGCAGCCCCGATCGATGGGGGTTCCGGCTGCGGCGCGGCCGCGCCTTTTGGCGCTCGCGGCCCTGTTGGCAGCTTCCGGGGGGGGGGGGAATGGAGGCTCCCATGAGAAGGAGGAGGAGGAGGAGGAGGAGGAGGAGGAGGAGGAGGAGGAGGAGGAGGAGGAGGAGCAGGAGCAGGAGGAGGGAGGAGGAGGAGGAGGAGGAGGAGGAGGAGGAGGAGGAGGAGGAGGAGGAGGAGGAGGAGGAGGAGGAGGAGGAGGAGGAGGAGGAGGAGGAGGAGGAGGAGGAGGAGGAGGAGCAAGGCAAGGCAAGGCAAGGCAAGGCAATGCAATCCTGGGGGAGGAGGAGGAAAGGCAAGGCAAGGCAATGCAATCCTGGGGTGTTATCGGTGCTGCATGTGGACCTCACTCGGGCCTCGATCCGCCCTGAAACTGGGAATGCCAAAGGCAAGGCCAACTTGCGCAGTAAAAAACCCGTCAGCTACGAGCACTACCGACTCGGAAGCATTTCTTATTACGGCACAACAGCACTCCAAGAACAACCGAAAGACGAACGAAACCTTCCGCACCCGACCCCGTCCGCCTCGCCGGACATGTGGTCCGAACACCCTCCTTGTGCCTCCTCCCTCCTCCTTCTTTTTTCCGTCCTGGGAAGATTCCCTCCCCGGTAGAATCATGGCTGTTGTCAGCAGATCCACAGTTCCGTGGATAGCATGATGCCTCGCGTGCGGTGCCCTGCGGATCCCGTTCCCCAGGGTGCGGGATGTATATTATTATTATTATTACTATTATTTTTTTCTTCTTCTTTTTCTTATTATTATTTGTATTATTAGTGCGAGTCGTATTATTGTTCGTGTTGCTGCTATGATGCGTATTATGGTTATGCTTATTATTATGATTAGTATTGTCATGACTATCATTCTTATCATTCTTATTATCATTATTATGTTATTACCATTCTTCTTATTATTCTTACTCGTACTCCCCTTATTATATAGTCATTGTTGGACAATAGATGGATCCACTTGTTAATCACGCGGGGCATTGGATCCGCGCAAAACAGAAATAGGATCCACGATTTTGTCGCACATCCGAAAAAAGGGTCCAATTGGTTCCATCGGTGTTCTCATGTTTTGAGTCGAAGATGAACGAAGCCTCGGCCTGGGGATGTCGTGCAACCATCGCATACGACAATATTTCTGTTATGCGGCGTTGGACCATGTGGCGGCGTAAGGAAACAACCTTTCCCAGCCTGTAGGGCTTTGTGTCAATTGAAACTGAGGAATGTCATCAACCCGTCAAATGGGCCCGACAATAGTCGTGACGATTTTCTAGACTTCTGCTGTGCACAGCGCTATACAAAGCTGCGAGCAGTAGGACGCTTCTTGACATGCTGCTTCCGCACTACTGGCACGGAACGACACGTGCCGCCCCCTGGACAGCTCAAAAAAATCCGTCCTCCGAAAACCAAACGTTGTGTGGCGCGGTGGGCGAAGGAGCAGCAACAGCAGCAGCAGCAACAGCAGCAGCAGCAGCAGCACTGCCGACAATGGAGCGGGCGTTGGGCCAGCTCCGTAGCAGAGTCGGGGTCGTCCTCCGCGACCTGCTGAATGCCCGCGTCGATTCGGAGTGCGCTGCGAGCTGGCAGCCTTTCCGTGACGTAGTCGCCCAGGCTGCCAGGTCTCCACGGATGTCGTGGCTCGCGCCGATGCTCTTTCGCCATGAGCCCAAGGTACTAGAGGAGGGGCTGGAGTCAGAGCCCCCGCCCCGCCCCGCTGACGCTCACGAGTTTTCCTGCGCCGTCATGGTGCGGGCTTGCCTGCAGGTGGCGGAGCGGGGCGATTGGCGATTGTTGCTGGAGGCATATGTCGCCGAGCTGCGTGCTGCCAGGAGTCACGGCGCCCGCGCTGCCGCCAAGCGTGGCGTGGAGCTCCCAGGACAAACCCTCGGTAACGAGGAGGCCTTCCACAAGGCTGCTGGGAAGCAGAGTGCTTGCGCAGTCTGTGCCGCAAAGGCGCTCCTCACTGGCGCTGTCCGCGCGCCTCTCACGGAGGCCACCGCCGCCCGCATCGACGAGCTCGTCGCGGAGGCAGTCGACGACATCGCGGGGTCGAGGCCGAGTGCAAGCGGGCACTTAAGGACGTGGGAAAGGCTGCGGCCCCGAAGTTCCGCGCCACCCGGCGGAGGCTTCGCGTCCTCCGCGAGGCTGTCCGGTGTGGCCCATTCGCATAGTGGAATTCATTCCTCAATGTCGGATCCGTGGGGGGCGGCATCAAGGCACTGGCTCGGTGGGCCCAGGTGTGGGAGCATGGCAGGGGGCAGGACGCCACCATCGAGCTTTGGAATGCTGCGTGCGTTACGCCCGTCGACTGCGACTTGGCGCACGTGGAGCCAGGGCAGCCAGTGCAGCGCAAATTGCGGCCGACCGCATGCGCCGAGGTGCTCGTGGAGCTCGTGGATGGCGCGTGCGTGGACGAGGAATCCTCGTCCATGCTCGCGGCGCTGGAGCCGCGGCAGCTGGGGTGCGGCGCGCCGGGCGGGGCCCCGCTCATAGTGTACCTTGCCCGCAGTTGGGCTGCGCGCGTCCAGTCCGCGTCAGAGCTGGAGGGCGACCCGCTCGCGGCCTCGAGCGTCGAGTTGGAGGCCGCGTATGGCCGCGCCTTAGACCGCGCGGCGGTCTGGCAGCGCGCTGACGGCCGCTGGCGCCGCCCTGGGCCGCGCGGGGCGGATGTCAGAGCGCGCGCCTCATGAAGCTCATGTTCGCGATGGGCCATGGGGACTGCCTGGAGTGCGTGCCGGAGCTTGACAGCATGGGCCGCGTCGGGTGCCGAGACGAGGCGTGCCTCTTCTCCAAGGCGGCGCACTTCGCGGACAGCTGGCTCGCGCTCCAAGGCGCCCTTGGGGGCCACCGCGTGCGGGGTGTAAGTGCAAGTCCCGGGCGCCGAGCTGCGACGGCCCCGAGCCTGGCCACGCTGCGCAGCATCTTGGGCGCTTGGCAGCTCTCCTGCCCCGTGCCCAGGGTGGCTTGGAGCTCCCGGGCGGGGCTGTGCAAGGGGAGTTCGCTGCCGCGGTCGGGCGCGACGGGTGGCTGCCTGGCCCCGCTCGCGCCAAGGCGGCTGCGCTGGCGCGGCGCGTGCAGGAGTTGGCGGCCGCGCAGCCCGCTGTCACATCTGTCCACCAAGCGTGGTCGCTTCTGTCCAAATACGTTGTTCATGCTCTGTCTCATGACGCGTGGCTGGCACCTTCGACGGTGCTGGGCTCAGTGGCCGAGCCTGTGAGTAACGCGGTGGCGGAGGCGGCGCAGCGCGCGGTGGTCGCTCGACGGCTGGGCGAATGCGCTCTGAGACAGATGCGCCTCTGCGGTGCCTTCGGGGGCTCGGGTCTGCGCCGCGACGGCGAGGGGGCCGTTGCTGATGCAGCCCTGCTCGATGCAGTGCCGTGCCCCGATGATCGCAGCCGCGCTCGGGCTGGGGCGCGCGGTGTGCTCTGGCGAGGCCGAAGCTCTCGCGACCCGGCAGCGCCTCGAGGATGCCGGCGTCGCCGCGCGCGCGGGCGACGCCTGGGCCGAGTGCAGCGGGGGCCCGTGGTCCAAGGGCGTTGCCGTTGATTACCTTGGCGGGCTGAAGCTGCCCCGCCAGGGCGCCCGGCCAGCCGCGTCTTCGGGCACCTTGGCGCTGTGCGCGCCGCCCGACTCTGGCGGGAACTGGGCCAGGGGCGAAGGGGGGGCTCGCTGTTCTCTGGGGGAACCAGCGCAGGTGCGCTCTGGTTGCAGCTCCCCGCGAAGCCGGCGGAGTGGTTCCCGTCCTCTTCTTCCGTGTGGCAACCGTGCGCAGGCTGGGGGCCCTTTGCGCGCCGCCAGGGGCAACGTGCCGCCTCCCGTGAACTCTGGCGAGGTGTGCGGCCGCCGACTGGGCCCGACGTTGAAGCGCCCGCAGCTCTGCAAGCAGTGGCCGGCGCCTGTGCGACCCGCGCCGCGCGCTTGCAGCAGCCTTCGCCCGGCTCGTGCGCGAGCGCCGTGCGGGGATGGACGCCGAGCGCGCGGTGCCGGAGCTCATCCGCGCGCTGCCGAACGGGGCCGTCGAGGGGGCCGTCTCGGATCTCGTCGCAACGTTCCTGGGCTCTGTTCAGCCCCTGTACGTCGACGCGTCGATCCGCTGCCCGCGCGCGGCGCGCTATCAGGCGCGGGCGAGCCCAGTCGACGCCGCCAGCGCTGCCGTGGGCGACGAGATGCGGCGGCGCGGGGGCGACGTGCTCACCGTCGCCCAGGGGCCCATCGGGCGGCTTGCTGCCGGCGCTCACCGATCGCTGGACGACCTCGCCATTCGCGCTGCTGCGTGCCTGCGGAACCAGTGGGCCGCGCCGTGGCTGGCGCCGCGCTGGGGGGCTGCCCCGCGGCGCGCGGTCGCCATCGGAGTGGCAGACGTCGATTTTCTTTCGCTGGGCGCTGCGCCCGCCACCCGGCAGGCGCGGGTGATTTGCGGCCGCGCTGCCAGCGCCTGGTAGTCGTCGTTTTTTTTATGGGTAAACAAATTGTGGGGTGCGTGCCGTGTCTCGGCAGTGCCTTGGCAGCGGCAGCTGCGGGTGCTGCGGCAGCAGCAGCGGCGGCAGCAGTGGCGGCGGCAGAGATCGACGAGGAGGAGAGGGGAGGAAGGGCTCCGCGCTCGAGGAGCGCTCGAAAACGTGTTGAGTTCCTGGGCGCCGCGGGAATCGCCGCCAACGGCGGACTGCCTGCCTTGCGAGCGGCCTCATAAGGTCCGATAGTAAAGTCTCCCCCCCCCGCTCCCGCCGACCCCCGCCCCCCCCCCCCCCCATAAGGGCAGGCGCGCGCTGAGAGTGATTGGGCATTGGCGGCGGAGTCTGCAAAGGCACCGTCAGACCGCAAGCGCTACGCGGGAACGCAGATGCCCTGAGTGCAGGCGCCAAATCAAAGCAGCTGCTGGCGCCGGGGATTTAGCGGGGCGCCCCGCGAGACCCAGTCCAGAGACCAATCGGCAGCAGGGTGGCCTCTCGTAACTAGGCAGACCAGGCCAAAGTGCTGTGCAGGGTCCCAGGAACACGTCGCCCGAGGCC